CTGCTGCTGCACACTCTGCTAGGGGGTTTATCCCCAAAACACTAACACGACTACTACAGATCCATTATGCACCGGCCGTCCCCAACCTGATCCAAAGGCAGGAGTTTTATAAATGGGACCAGAAAGAAGGGGGAAGCATTGGAGACTTCGTAGAGGCTCTGGGGAATATGGGAGGTGAGTGTGGAATCTCTAACATGGATGAGGCCACGAGAGACCGCGTGGTTCTCGGACTAAGAGACCTCACACTCCAGAGCCGGTTGATGACCTGACCAGACATTACGGTCACCGAAGCCATCGCTGAGGCCACCACAGCCGAGGCCGTGAAAAAGTCAGCAGCCACAATGCGGCAAATGAACACAATAACCCAGAAAACACCGACGGAAGCAAGCCCACCCCAGGAAAAGGGACCAGAGGGAAGCCAAAAGGCCACCACCACAACCGCACACCACAAGGACGTAGACTCCCCTTCTGAGACCAATGAGGAGGAGGAAGAAATTCACAGACTCCAGTCAGAATGAGACAGATGGGAGCGGAGAGGTCATAAGTTGGAGTTCCAGTGCACCGGGTGCGGAGGAGACCATCCCCGTTCAGAGTGCCAGTTCCTAGACACCATTTGTAGGCACTGTGAAAAACAGGGACACATCACCAAGGTCTGCTGAAATAAAAAGAATTACAGCCTGAGGCAATGTGACAGCACACCCCCCAGGACCAGAGACAGGCACACAGAGAGCTGTTGGAGCCACAAAAGCAGAAGCAAGCAGCTCAGCGAAAACCACCGGAAGGAAGAAACCCACCAAACGGCCACCATCAGGCACTCGAGTGCAACCGATGCCCGGAAGGTACACATGCAAGTCGGCATCGAAGGCCAGCAGTGTAACATGGAGTTGGATTCTGGATCATACCTATCTATGGTATCCTAGGGCACCATAAAGCACCTAGTACCCAGCTTACACAGGTGTGAGCTAGAAGACCAGAGACTGACTTTAAAGGACTACCAGGGGAACAGAATCCCCGTAGTCGGAGTTGGACATTTTCACATAACCTTCAAAAGACATGAAAAAATCCTCCCCCTGACCATCGTAGACAGAGACTGCCCAAGCCTGCTGGGACTGGAGTGGTTCGTGCCATTGGGGATTGAGGTGACAGGCATCAATCGCATCACCGAGGCAGACTGGGAGGAGAGCCTAATGTGGGACTTCCAGGATGTATTCGACAGGAAGCTAGGCAAGTACTGTGGGTCCCCTATTTCATTTAATCTGAACCTGAACATAGCCCTGATCCGTTTAAAGCTGAGTCCCTTTCGCCCTCAAACCAAAGATCGATGAGCAATTGGACAAGCTCATCACACAAGGGGTCCTAGAGCAAATAGATCACACACGGTGGAAAACCCCAATAGTCACCCTAATTAAGCCAGACGGGTCCATGAGAATCTGCAGAGACTATAAGGCCACCCTCAACCATGCATTACAGCAGAGTGCATACCCCGTTCCTGTGGTACATCACCTCCTACACTCGCTGGGGGGAGGAAAAGTCTTCGCAAAGCTCGATCTGGCACAGGCATACCAGCAACTGCCAGTCGACCCTGAAACAGCTGAGGCACAGACCATTGTGACACACAGGAAGGCATTCCATTGCAAAAGACTCCAATTCAGAGTCAGTGTGGCCCCAGGGTTGTTCCAGAGCCTGATGGAATGGTTGTTGCAAGGTGGTGCCCTATTTTGATGACGTGTTGGTATCTGCCAAGGATAAAAATCAATTGGATAGCCACCTCAGACAAGTTCTGCAGAAATTTAAAGAGGCAGGACTCAAAGTTAAAAAATAAAAGTGCCAGCTATGCACCGAAAAAGTAGAATTCCTGGGGTACCTAATTGACAAGAATGGAATCCACCCCACCAAGAAGAAAATTAAAGCCATCAAAGAAGCCCCCAGACCACAGAACAAAACAGAACTACAGGCATTCCTAGGACTCATTAACTTTTATAATGTTTTCTTGCCACAGAAGGCAACAATGGCGGAGCCTCTACATAGACTGTTAGACAAGACAGCCACCTGGTCCTGGGACAAGCAGGAAGAAACCACATTTCAAAGAATAAAAGACCTGCTGACATCTGAATCGGTTCTTATACAATACAACGAAACCCTACCGTTAACCGTGACCTGCGACGTATCACCATTTGGCGTTGGAGCCATCCTAAGCCACACACTACCGGACAGGAGAGAAGTGCCAATTGCATTTTACTCCAAGACATTGTCCAGGACAGAGAGGAACTACAGCCAGCTGGACAGGGAGGCACTAGCAGCTATCACCAGAGTAAAGCCGTTCCATGAATACCTGTACGGTAGGACTTTTTCCCTCATTACCAATCATAAACCACTTCTGGAAATACTGGCAGGGAACAAGGCCACCCCAAACATATTGTCACCATGGATGACAAGGTGGTCTGAGTTCCTTGATGCCTACAACTACCAATTAATCCACCCACCAGGGAAAAGCATATCACATGCTGACGCCCTGAGCCACTCCCCGCTCCCTGACCTGGAAGACGACCCGGCTCCCACCACATCCATACTTCAAATAGAAACATTACCCAATTTAACCATGACCGCATCAAACATTGCCAAAAAACTGCAAAAGACAGGCAACTGGTGCGAGTTTTAAACTGGGTGGCAAGAGGGTGGCCAGAAACTGATGACGGCAAGCCATTCAAAACCTTCCTGAACCGACAAACCAAACTATCTACACAAAAGGGATGCATACTATGGGGGGACAGAGTTGTAATTCCGGAAAAAAATACAAACAAGGGTGTTGGACATGTTACATGAGGCACACCCGGGAATTGTCAAAATGAAATCCTTGGCCAGGAGTTACGTTTGGTGGCCAGGGATGGACAAAGACATTGAGGCATGGGTGGCAACATGCAGCAAATGCCAGAAATCCAGACCTAACCCCCCTTCTGCTCCTTCCCTCGAGTGGGAGACATCAAGAGCCCCCTGGTCACGAGTCCATATAAATTTTGTGGGACCTACAAAGGGACATACATTTTTAATAACTGTCAACGCTTACTCAAATTGGCTGGAGGTCAGCATCATGCAATCCACAACAACAGAGGCCATCATCAAACAATTAACAAAACTGTTTGCAACCCATGGATTACCGGACTTGCTAGTCTCAGACAATGGGCCGCTATTCACGGCCTTGTCATTCAAAAAATTCCTAGCTGAACAAGGCATGTGGCATGCCTTAACAGCGCCCGCTCACCCGGCGGTGAACAGAATGCATGGTTAGGTACACCAAAGACACATTAGAAAAAATGGACACGGGGGACATACAAGACAAAATAAATAAAATGCTGATGATACAGCACATAACACCCAGCACATCAACAAACAAAAGCCCAGCAGAACTCCTGATGGACAAGAAACTACAATCACAATTAGACAGATTGCACCCAACATACAACTCCAAAAAACTGCCAGACTCTTCCAGTAAATACCGCATATTTACACCAGGGGATTTAGTATATGCAAAGAACTTTACGGGAAACCCACTCTGGATACCAGCCAAAATAACCCAGGTAATGGGGCCCTGGTCATACCAACTGGAAATGGAAGATGGAAGAAGCTGGAAAAGGCACATCGACCAACTGAGATCAAGAACAACCGAAAGAAACACCGACAACACGGGGAACATAGATAAACCACACACACAAAACCACACCAAATATATGATAATAAAAAAACCGGGGGGGGGGGGAGAATCCCCAAGCATTAACCAAAAGGGAGGAGAAAACCCTCCGATAACACAACAACAAACTGAACACCCACCACCAACACCAATAGACCCAAAATAAACCAACACTACTTACCGGCAGATGACTTCAGCAGAAGGGAACCAACAGCAGAGTACCAACACAAGGCCTCTCCTGGAAGAAACAGCCAAGCTAGTTCAACCAGCCCGGAAAACCAGGCGGGAGCGGCAGAGCCACTGACTCGATCGACCCGGGTAGACCAGGTGGGAGCGGTAGCAGCAGGCCTGACTCACCCTTCCAGGAGGTTCCACCGAGGAGGACGGGAGAAACAGCGATCCTGTCCGAACCAGCCGAAGGCAACAACACAACTGAGCTGTACAGGTCAAGTAGGAACACGAAGAGCCCCGCCTACTTATGGGACTGCGTTACATAGGTTGGACTGTACCAAGAGGGGAAGGGTGTTCCATATTAGCATACTTGAAATACCCTCTTCTGGTTGGACAGCAGACACTGTATGATGATTGGTTCAATTACTCCATTACAATTGGTTCGCTAAGAATCGCCCGTGATTGGCACGGCCGATTGCAGGAGATTCAAAGAACTGTCATTGGTTGTGAGCCGCGGGAAATCCCTATAAAAAAGGGCTGCCGCGGCTCCAAGATCTTGAACAGACTTAAATAAAGAAATAAGAGCTGAAAAGTCACACTGGCCCCGAGTCTCTTTTCCCACGATCGAACAGTATGAATTCTACCTCTCATTTGGAATGTTTAAAATTACAAAAGGTTGGAAGTCTGATTCAGCTGTGTTTCACATCCTTCTTATATTCCAAAGAATCAGTAGCTGTCTAAATTGCTTCCAAATATTAACTGGTGATTCTACACCAGTGAAACAGCCCAAGCTCTCCTTTCCTTTGTTACAATGATTGTGTAATTTTTTCAAAGTAACCTATGCATTAATGTTTGCTTTGCTTCTTCTTCAATGGAAAGTGAATCAAGTGATTCATACCTTATTCAGCAACCGGTCATTGTCAAAGCTAGTCCAGACAAGGAAACCCAACATATATAGATCAATAGTATCTTCATTAGAAAGATACACCAATAGAGTCTTTCAATTCTGAATGCACTTCCCTTTCCCACCTTGAAATTTGAGAGAATGAGGAGGGTCTTGTAAGAAATTTTCTCAGGTGACTGTTCTCTCCAGACTCAGGTTCTTCTGATGCTGTTCCAGTAGTGGCTCTTCACAGGGGTACACTTGAATGCAATTTCTAGTCTGAATTGTTTGAGAATTTAGAAGATTATACAGTTTGACCATGATAAAACTTCTAATAAGTTAATTGCACTAGCTTGTGTTAGAAATTATGTTTATAGCACTACAGAAAATGCAAAATATACAGTCACCATGTGCTTTACTGCTTTACTGTTTTAACTGTAATAGGAAAAAGGAAACTTTACTTAGAACAAAAGAGCATAGAGTATATACAATAGATCCAAACTTGCAAACATTGCCATCCATTGGCTGAATACTACTGTAGTTGTTTTACAAAAATACATTCTAACAAAGTATTCCACTTCAAACTCCTAGTTTTTACTTATAAAGCAATAGAATCAGGTTGCTTGCCTTACCTAATTCTCTCTGATTGTCCCTTAATACCCACAAGAACTGGCAATGCAGAACTGCTCCAGGATGGGATTGGGATTCTAAAATTTGTGTCACAATTCCAACTTAATGGAGCAATACTCCCCAGGAGATATGAATGGCCCTAACTTCATTGGCACTTTAAGAAATAAACATGAAAACCAGAGTGTCTCCACCCACTTTTGGTTCTGAGAATTAAATGAGTCTGTTGTGTAATTACTTAATATCCACTTCAAGATTTAGATTAGGAGTAAAATGATTTTGGACCTCATGAATAGAAGTGTTCAATCTTTTTTTTAAAAAAAAAACAAGTTTTATTGATTTTACAAACAAACAAACAAAACAAAACATCATTAAACATTAAAAACATAAAACCTCTTTCCATTGTAAATCTTTACAAGGCAGGTAACACATTGCTTTATATCAGATACTTATAATTTATCCCATTTCCATATAAACACGTAAATTCCCTTTACCAAATTTCACATTGTTTCTCTTTAATCATTATTCAATCATATTTCCTTTCTAATTTATCTGCTGTTCAGTCATCACATTTATATTTTCCTCTGGCTTGTTTATAATTGTTCTCATCTAGTCTTTCTCCGAGATTTTATTATTTAATTCTTAATTGAACACACACACATAAGACATAAACATAAAAACACAAAACTTTCTTTTAGAAAGTAACTTGGCCCCAGATTACCTCTTTTTGTATGGACTTCAATTGAATTCATGCTCTTCTTATATACCATTACCTATCTTGTTTACCATTCTATATATATTATATAACTCCTCTCCACTTTTGCCTCATCTTAATTCTGTTTTATATATTTAATCTTGCTTTAAAGAAAAATATTTTTATATCTTTTGTCCATTTCTCCATTTACATCTGTCTCATTTCCAATATAAAAAAGAATAGTTTCCCCTGGAATCACTAATCA